CTTTCTAGTAATGAGAACATAAGAAAAACTGCTATTTGCTATAAACTGCTATAATCTATTTGTGTAAAGACAGTTACATTAAATATAAACAATAATTTACAAACTAGAAAAACACTTCACAATTTAAAAAAACTGCCTTCAACATATTTAACAACTCAGTAGTATTTCTTATATAAGGAAAAAAATAATAAACAAAATAATTTCTTTATGGTTAAATAATGCAAATGAAAAATCATTCGCTTTGGATATGAACATTAAATATACACTAGAAATGAGAACTTTCCTTCAGCTGAGCTACGTCGTTAATATCAGTAGGCTACATTCATCGAGTGCTATAGAGAAAGCAATGAATGTCTTAACTTTGTCTTTCAGCTGACGGTTCAAGTCTCTTGCAATGTCCTCAATTCTTTCAGCCACAGTATTTCTTGACAAGCTAATACTGGCAAAAGCCTGTTTTTTCTCAGGGCACACAAGCTCCGCTGCCTTTATCATACACTTTTTGATGAATTCTCCCTATGAAAAAGGCTTTGATGCCGCTGCGATTTCATTGGAAATCAAATAGCTGGCCTTTACAGCTTCATCAGTCCCTGCTCTTTTTGTGAACATTGCTTTTTTTTCAAAGTTGATGCTAAATCATTAGCTTTTTCCGTTCTGTGCTGTCCAGTGTATTGATCATATTTCTCTGCGTGTATTTCATAGTGCCGTTTAATGTTGTATTCTTTTTGCACAGCCACGGCTTGTGAGCAGATTAAACATACCGGCCTGCCGTTGACCTCACAGAAGAAATACTTCTCTTTCCATTTCTCCTGAAACATCCGCCCTTCCAGATCAATTTATCTTTTTTTGGACATTTTTTAAATCGCCAGTGCTTGCCACACAATTTCAGTTAGCGAGGTGTTCGAAATTTGAATTAGGCGCCGCTTTAGAATGCGCATGCATGTTCGAGGTTCCGGCAGAAACGCAATAGAAGCGCAATTAAATGATCAACGATAAAATAAAATAAAAAAAGAATAAAACCAAACACAATATTGTTTAGTAATAATAATAAAAATATTTATTTTATATTATTTTTCAAATCATCCCGCGGGCCGTATTGGATGTCTCAGTGGGCCGTATTCGGCCCGCGAGCCGTATGTTTGACACCCCTGCTGTAGACAGTTCCATTTGGTGAGGCAGGTGGCTTAGAAACTACATGCTTGACCCATCACATGTCTTCATCCAAAAATGGAATGAAGATATTCATCTTCTGACCTCAATCTCAGTCTTTGTGATGGACAGCGGAACAGAAAACATTTAGAGATTACTGCTACAGTCATGTCACCGCAAATTGCCCTTGAGTCATTGTAAGTCAACTCAAAAAGCATTAGATATTCTTCTTGCATTAGTCATTGAGTAGGACAATAACATATTTCATGCCTTCTCAGATGTTTTTATACAACGTTTTTATAATATACAACCTTTTATAAATGTTTGTTTACTTGTGCGTAAGTTATGTGTGTGTACTTTATTTTATCCTTAACTTGTGAAGCACTTTGAGCAACAAAGTTGCATTTAAATGTGCTATATAAATAAATGAAGTTGAACGTTGAGAATGCACGTTGAATAAAATACATTCACATCACTGAACTAATTCTTTTTAGCTGAAGTTGATGTTTTGAATGTCTAATTTTAGACCAGCCTTGTAGCCCTAACAAGAGAATGCTTCTGAAAACCCAGTCATACATAGTCAAAAACTACGAGTCAATGAGTCACCAAAGCACATATGAATAAAAAGCGTTATTTTTAAACCCTTGCTGTCTTAAACAATATGCTTATTTGTGTTCCTCCATTTGAAGAGCTTTTAAGTCTGCTGCTTTGCCACAAGCCATTTTACACCTCAGCAGCCTGCATTTGTCCCAGGTCTTTCAGAAATAAGATGGCATTTCAGCCATGCTTTTGGCTGTTTTATAGGCCGCCCATGCTTTTAGATATCTTGTGATACATTTTCTTGTGCCTATCACACAGATAGTCAATGAGAGGTAGGTATATCACATCACTTGGACTCTTTTCCAGAACTTTGCTGTGTACAGCATACATAGGCAGCTTATGTTACCTTCTAAGGCATTGTCCTGACTGAAATGAAACCTAGGCCGTAACTAAGGATAGATGCCTTATTTAATTTTATGTGGATGAAAATGAGGCTATGAAGGATAGACCTGAGGCACCAAGAATGATAAAATAACCACCATGATAGCTATATTAGCATAGAAACCAACATTCTGTTTATTGTAAGTTTTACTTTAAATGTTTGAGCTCTTTAAAGTCAGGTGGATTCTGATTGGCTTTTAATGTTTTTTTTTTTTTAATCATTTATCACCTGGAAAAAAAACATTCTGGAAGTGATTCCAACAAAATTGTTCCTCTGTTTGTTGATGTTATAGCTGTGGTGTGGACTTCTCTATTCTCATAAAATTAGAGCAGTTATTAAAAATGTAAAGTTACAGTTATCATTATAAAGATTATCTTTTTTTTTGAAAAGCCCTTTACAGTCTTTACAATGGCATGTGCTAGGTCCTAGATCACATGTAGTTTTCAAAACTCACACTTTTCAAAACTTTTTTTGTCAAGTTTGTGTTTTCTGAAAGGTTATTTGGGAAGATGTTTAGTCAGCTGAACAATTGGCATGTTGTTGAAGAGCACACTGAACTTCCCTCACAGCCTCGTTTTCATTCCTGTCAAAAACATGGTGCTACCCTGACTAAAAGTATGTTCACGTTAGTGAATTTTCATTAGCAAAAAGGTCAATTGTTTATTAATAGTGAAGCGATGAATGAAGCACAGCTCGTGCTGAAGACTTTCAAACCAAGCAGCTTTCTGTTGGTCAATACAGTGAGTTAGTGTGAGCAACTTAAACTCGTTGTGAAATCTGCATGGGAAATCTTTCATCCTCAGGAATTGCCTGGATTCCTATTAAAATAAACAAATAAACAAAATAAAAATAAACAAGATAAATTAAGTTGAAATTGCTTGTGGAATTCTGGGAAAACAAAATACTTATTAACTCCTTCCCTGCCATTGACAGAATTTTCCATCATTAATAAGATAACGCTTCCCCACTGAAGGAATTTTCCGGCTTTCCGTGTTTTCACTGGTGTACGGTACACATCTTCTGAAAGAGTATTGAATGTCTGGATCAAAAGCTAAGAAGCAGCAGAAACAAGCGATTACATATGTAAGCAGATGCATATGTAAAATAACGCGATCATCAAGCATTTAACGGCATATAAATCAAAACTGCCTGATGTTACTGAATGAAATGTCGATCCAGGAAGTGGTATAGGACCGTGCAAGCTCTGAATGTGTTGATGGAAGCGATCTATTCTAGCTGTGTTTTGATCATCGTTCTGAATCTGATCCTGAATCTGATTTTCTCAGCTTTTTGTTCAAAATGTTGCTTTTTTAATGAAACTTACACTCATTCAAGTGTTGATAAAATAAGATTGCATGAAGCTAGAATAAAATTTTTTTTTTTTTCCCTTACATATTGCATGTCAGATATTAATAAAACAAAATATTCTGGGTGCCATTAAACTTTTGTGAAAATGATCAAAAAATGCTGCTGGTGGGGAAAGTTTTCAGGGCATGAATTACTTCCAGAATTGCAGTGATTGACATTGGCAGTTATATGTCTTGGTCAGGGGCATGTTTAGAGTTTTGGGGGCTCTAAGCAAGCGGTCCCTGGGGGGCCCCCTTGGTAGAAATCGCGTTCCGCGGGGGCCCCCCTAAAAATTGCATGGGGCCTAAACACGCTACTGGTCTTGGTTATATTTAATTCTATTTGTGAGTGAATTTAATTGTAGAATGTGTTTGGACTAAACGCATTTTTGTGTACAGAATGGGATTTAGTTCTCAGAACAGGACAGTGACAACCATGTTTGGCTGCAGTGTGTATGTGGAGGCAGCGAGTCACTCTTGTTTGAGCTCCGAAGCCCACTGGATCCCTTAAGCACCCTATGACTCAGCGGGGCTATGGCTGGGTTCAGCTTCCTGTTCTAGCGAGGGCAACTCCAAGGGCACTTCAAAAGCTCTCCATCTCACAGAGACAGAGATATCGCTGAATAAATCACACAGATTTATTCTGCAGATGCCTGGCTAAACGATCAGCCTCAGTTCTCAGACACCCTCACACCTTCCATGTGTTTGTCAGTAGACAGTAGACTGTATTCTTGTTTGTGCTGTCATCTATTATATGGTACTTTAGTCTGCAGGATGTTCTCCAGGCACCCAACTTAAAGCTCATTACGGTCTGTTCATCTCCCAGAAGTCTTTCAGGACTCTTCCGGGGTATTTGATGGCCTTCTGATGAATGAACGGTTCTCCTTGTGATGCTTTGCATAAGGAGCCTCTGTTTCTGCTGCTTTCTCTGTGGAATCAGTTTTTTTCCACCTCGTATTCTTTGGCCAAATAATTATCTTTAACATGACACTGAGATGATGTTTCAGTGCTGAACACTGGCGCTTTGTTGGCCAGACCTAATGTGCGTCGAATGACTGGGTCACTCAGTGTGAGCTCACCTCAGGCTGTGACAGCTGCACTCTTTAAAACCGAGAATGCTGTGAAGGGGGGGCCTTGCATGAGAAAAACATTGCAAAAAGCCCTGAACTTCAACTGTCTGTTAGTTCATGTCGGTGTGGGCTAAGGGTGCATGTTCTTTCTCATTGTGCTGCTTTTCTCATTCCTATACTAAAAATCTTGTCACCATTATCATCTCTCTAGCTTCATTGTTCATAATGGGCCTGAAAAATATAGCCTAATAGAAGAGAACATCTCTGGTCTGAACCCATTAAGCATAGAGGTTAGAATCGCAGTTATCTGTGAGAGGTAATTTCCTGCTATATGGAAGGAAGGTCATAGCCATTGTCTCATTTGTCTTGTCTACTTCAAAGGATACCAAAGTAGTGCTTGCCTAATGTTTTGGATAAACTCTGTCATAAAACTTGAAAATCATTGTTGTGTTGTAGGAGCTCGAGAGAGTGACATCTCTGCAGACCAACTTGCAGCTGGCTGCAGTCATCTGCACTAATGCTCGAAGGTCAGAGAGCTTTTGAAAATCAGGTTTAAAGGAATAGTACAGCTAATAAATGAAAGCTGTGTTATCATTTTTCACCCATATGTTGTTCAAAACTGACTTGTTTTCTTCAGTGGGACAAAAAAAGAGAAAATTGACTTAAATGTGGACAGAAGTTTTCATGTTTCAAAGAAACAAGAAAACAAAAGTGCATAAAAGTATCAAAAAAATGGTCCGAACGACTCGTGCACTATGCTCCAAGGCTTCTGAAGTCGCATGTTAGCTTTGTGTGAGAAACAGACATGCAAGAGATTTACATCAGTCATTTGAGTTTTATCAGCGAGTTGAACTTGTGAGCTAGATCAATCAGAACAAATCCTTCAGACAAGAATGAAATTTATAATTTCTTCATGAATTTAACATCTTCACTTCCCTCATGAACTTTCAAGAATGACAAATGCATGGTCGCAGTGTATGGAAATTGAGAGAAAATTAAAAACAAAATTAAATCTTAAGGAAGTGTCCCACAGCAGGACAATGCAATATTTATGCTAAATGTATTTAATGCTTCTAGAACTCATTACTAACATTTTTATGTTGTAATATAATATACTAAAATGTTATGTTTACTATAGGTAATAATGTGTATGATATACTATAATACAATTAGTTCTGATTGACAGTTATAACTGATTTCTGATTGACAGAAATATGAAGAACGAAAGAGTTTACTGCTGCCACAGTTTGCTATGGGAGAATAATGTACTGCAGAGATAATGTTGAGTTTTTTTGTGAATAACCGCTTACATTTCTCTTATTTCTCTTATCTTGTGACTTCAGAAGAATTAGAATATGGCACACAAGTTGTATGGACTACTTATGGTAATATGCAAATTTTTTTGTCCTTTTGATGCTTCAATCCCCACACATTGTAATTCTTTGAAAAAGAACATGTAAAACAGTCCTTTTGCTTTTGTATTCTTTGAAAGGAAAAGTCAAACAGGTTTAGAACAACACGCAGAAATGAGTAAATGTTTTCATTCTTAGGCCAACTATTGCTTAAAGTTTCGGTGAGCAGTAGAATAGGCACAAATGCTTTAATTCTGCTTTCAGGCAGCTTCGTTCTGCTAAAGAAGGCTTCACTGAAGCCAGTCTTGGGCTGTTAGCCAATCAGAGACGACGACAGCTGTTGACAGGATTGTTGAAGTCTTTGAGGACCATAAAGCCTCTGGTAATCACTTCATCAACATTGTTAATGGCTAAACAGAGAGTTTCTGTCCTCTGTGCATGTTAATTTCCTTCTGCACAGTTTCACAGACACTCTGTCCTTCTTCTCTTTGCTTTTTTTTGCAGCAAAGAACTGATGTTCGACTGAGTGAAATGCTGGAGGTAAGTTGGCACAGAAATCTGTCCAAATGTGCAGTACACAAATACACCTCATATTTAAAAGATAACCAAAAGAGAACTTGCAAACAACTGAACATGTATTAGCTGGACGAAGATACTTTGGACTGAGATTGTCTCTCACACTCACTAATTGTGGTGTTTAGTCTGTTTATGTCTTCTAAATATGTGATCCTGGACCACAAAACCAGTCTTAAGTTGCTGGGGTATATTTGTAGGAATAGCCAAAAATACATTGTATGGGTCAAAATTATCGATTTTGTAAAGATCATGTTCCATGAAGATATGTTGTAAATTTCCTTCCGTAAATATATCAAAACTTAATTTTTGATTGGTAATATGCATTGCTAAGAACTTAATTTGGACAACTTTAAAAGCGATTTTCTCAATATTTAGATTTTTTTGCACCCTCAGATTCCAGATTTTCAAATAGTTGTATCTCAGCCAAATATTGTCCTATCCTAACAAACCATACATCAATGGAAAGCTTATTTATTCTGCTTTCAGATGATGTATAAATCTCAATTTCGAAAAATTGACCCTTATTACTGGTTTTGTGGTCCAGGGTCACATATAAATTTTATATGTAATATGAGATTGTTCTGTCATCGTGAGGGTAATGATAGAAATCTAACATACTCACTAAACTGTTAGCTTAGTTGTTCTAGTTTAGCCCTGTAAAAATGTCGACAGATATTCAGGTAAAATGGAGTGTTTAATTTTACAGGAAGAGGACTATTCAGGCGCCATCCAGCTGTGTTTAGAATGCCAGAAGGCTGCCAGCACTTTCAAACACTACAACTGTATAAGGTGGGTGGAAAACCGCTGACTGGATTGGTGAGCGATCCAGATCCTGAAGTTCACTATATGATGATAAATATGATGGAATTTATTTGAATGTCTGAACTGCATTTTTAAATCGTTTTAGTACTCTCTTCACAAACTGATTACATTTGTAACATAGCCATTCATTTAAAACAGTCTCTGTAGGGTTGTATACAGTCCATATCCATACAGGATCATTTTTTGCTGACAGCCATTCAGGTGTTGCTTGCAAAAAAGTCTTAATAAACAGGTTTATTAATGCTTTGTCCTATATGTTTTCAAAACATGCAATTTTTTTTCCCAAACAATTTTTTTTTATAATCCTTGTAATATCTATCCAGTGTGTTATCAAAATAACAATGAACTTTCCATGAGATTTTGTGCAAATTCTGACAGTATAAAAGAGTCAACATTGTGAATGATACTGTAAAAATTGTGAAGCATGTACTTACTGCTCTAATGTATACAGTAATGACATTTTCTGTTATTGTTATACTACATAGCCTACAGATTTAGCCGTCGGAAAAAAATGTTGTTCATGTTCAATATACTATAACTGAATTTATACTACAGTATAGTCGACCTTTTCAGATTTGCTGAGTTGCATTTAATTTGACAGCCACTGCCAAGGTAAGGCCACTGTTTATCACATGGCATACTGTATAATGATGTCTCAAAGTTTATGTGAAACAGCAGTTCCCTGTTCTCTGGCTGCCTACCTCTGATGCCCACTGCTTTGATGGGTCACATGATTCTATCTTTGACAGGGCACATGCCCACCTCTTTGGTGTCTCTAATGGGCCTCTTGAATGGGCATTATAAAGACATTACTTAAATTACGTGAAATGAAGAGTATGTATAGATGTAAAATCTAAAAGACTTTTGTTGTCAGTTATAAACAACAATTGTTGAAAAATCACTTACTTGTGAAAATAGTACCAAAGCATTAATAAACTTTGTTTATTATGATTTTTTTGCAAGCCACATCTGAATGGCTGTCAATAGAGAAAGGTACTTTTACAGCAAATTGTAACACCCACTCTTACACTCTTTGAGTTTTTTCTTTCCTCTGACAAAGTCTTTAGAACTAATTATTGTATATTCTAAAAATAGCAATATAAATTAGTAGTCATGCTGTCTCCTGATGACTTTGCATCGCTTTTATTACACAAGATGTTCTCATTGTGGCGTAAAACAGTCTGCAATCTGTGTTGAAGGATAGTGTTCTTAAGCTGTGAAGTTTCATCAGCAAATATGATGGTGAGGAACAAATGCACCTGTTTGCTGTCTAGTGATTGATATGTCACGACCCACACTAATGGAATGTCTTTATCTCATTAGGATGTGGCTTAACAGACAGAGAGGATGCAGTCAGTGTCGCTCATGTAAAGGATACTAGCAATTGTTCACCAGTCTTTAGCTCTCCCTCTCTTTTTGTGACTGTGCATTGCTGCTCTGTTTAAACTGGCACAGGAAGGTTTTGCTATCTGATCAGCCTCCAGTCTGCTCTGCACACATTGATATCCATGCAAGTGCATGGAAACCTGCCCAGTGTGATTTCCTTCTGTTTAAAAGCTCTCTCTTTGAAGGGAGAATGGAATGAAAATTCATTTTTCAAATTGTCTGACCAGCTAATGAGGTACAGAGATCAGTTTGGATAGTATAGTCCTCCTGGTAGATGCCATAACTACATATCTGACTGTAAAAATAATCTTTTTCATTAGTAGCCATGTATTCTGACATTTATTTTATTTATTTAATTTTTCCCACAATGCTATATGGAGGGGAAAATTTGAGGTGATATTTTATAGCTTTACTCTTGCATTGTAGCATTTCCTAATAAAGTTAATAGCTCCATTTTATTGACTCACGAAATGTTTACTCCCATTTAGCCATTGGCAAGTGTTATTTTTGGACCCTGCCCTTGTTTGTGCATTTCAGTTTTTGGATCCAGAAAGCTGCACAGCCACAAAAGCCTGCACTGAAAGAGTTGTAATTAAAAAAAGGAACCGGTCCCATTTTCCCTGTCGAATCTTAGACTCTGGCCCCTTACATTTATTAGGGGTGAGATTGGATAGATAGATAGATAGACAGACAGACAGGCAGACCACACTCCATAAGGCACTGTCATTTCTGCAGCAGAAGTAATAAGACCTGCAGCAGGAACATTTGGGGAAGCCAGGCTGTCTTGATAAAAGCATAGCTGTGATATATGTGACCCAGAGACAATATAGAGCTGATTGGCCACTTGCTCTCCCTTCTCATTTACTTGTTTATGTAATGATGCATAATGTGCTCTCATATGTTTGTGCGTTACTCTGATACCCAGTGAATATCAAAGGCATTTTCGGCTTGGCGTACTGGGGTTTTAACACTCTGGCAGTGATGTATTTTTCAGGATGTATCAGCCATGTGTTTTGTCATGTTGTTTTTCCACCTTGCCTTATGGTTTTTTTTTTTGGCAATTAGTCTCCAACAAGCAGTGAGGTAGGTGAAAATGGCTGTCTGCGGGAAGTGTGACGTCAGCCTCTGCATTACTCACAAGTCAGGTTGAAAGTTTCTTGAAATTTAGACAGAAGTGTGAGAATGAAGGGCTGTAATTTTTCCCCTAATTTACAAACATCTGCTTAGCATCATGAGCTGGGATGCAGAGAGAATTTATAGATGCAGCACTAGTTTGAGATCATTTAAGACAGGGGTCTCCAACCTTTTTTACACCACGGACCGGTTACGTTTGGAAAATATTCTCGCGGACCGGCCGGAGGGGGGGTATATATAGCCTATATATTAGGTTATTATATAGTATTATAATAGCATTATATAGTGGTTCAACGCATTATATTGTGTTTTGTTTCTTTTCGGATAAGCAAGAAAAAAAAAATATTTAAAGCACAGAGAATGACAATGCCATGAAGGGTTTTTGACAGGCTAATTTTATGTATACGCAACTCGGTATTTCCGCGCTGTCTCTATGCTTGTGCGCGCTTTGATTGTGTGCGAGAACAGTGCGTGAGTAACGAATTGAGCTCTCTTTCGTTTCTTCTTCTTGTGGTTTAAAATTGCTTGTATGTATAAATTGGCAAATTAATCTGCGAATCACGTGCGTGCCGAACGGTTGGGTCTCATCCGTACGTATTACGGATCAACTGCGATCCGTTTAACTCC